GGGGCGGGGCGGGGCGGGGCGGGGGGGATAGTGGATGGTTAAACCCATTTTCTGACTGGCTCCACTAATTTGCCTGTAATGACTGATCCCAGCCAAGAGAACCAAACTAGCTTTGCCTTGAGATGCCTTCAGCCTACTCCCTTGTGTCACAAACTGGGGTATGCATGTGCCTGCCAGGAACCAGAGGCTTTCTAGAGGGCCTGAGAGAGAAAGGCATGGGAAAGCAGAAGGGGAAAGGGAAATATAGATGGAGGCACAGGAAAAAGAGACAGGAAGACTAACTCTGCCATCTCTCTGAGGCTCATGGGGAGGTGTGAGTGTGGTTGTAAAGACACAACATGCCACTTCTTGTTATCCATAGCTGGGAATCCTACAGTTACACAGCAGACAACCTTCAAAGGGGTCCTGTGCTCCAGAACTGTATGGGTGTGTCATGCTGGAGCATGGCTTGTGGCCCTGGGTGCTCGGTGTCTCCTTGCAGTGCTGGGTTGGCAGGGAGCCACGTGCTAACCACCTTCCGTCGGCCCTTGCAGATCTTCCACATGACCTATGACCTGGCGAGCGCGGTGGTGCGGATCGTCAACCTCATCGGCATGATGCTGCTGCTCTGTCACTGGGACGGCTGCCTCCAGTTCCTGGTGCCCATGCTGCAGGACTTCCCCGATGACTGCTGGGTGTCCCTCAACCGCATGGTGGTAAGTGCCCAGTCTTTGACCCTCCTCTCCCCCTTTCCCTCCCCACCAAAAAAATCATTCTCAAAAGCCCCTGTAACCAAGCAGCTCTGTGCTGGTCACCCCCACCATCCGCAGACATGTAGCATCTCCCAACCTGTCCAGCAGCCCTACTCTTCCTTCCACTACTCTCCCTTCCTCGTCTCTCCAGTCATCCCCTAGGGTCTTGGCATTGGGACGGGAGATGGGATGCCCTTTGGAGACTCCTCTGTGGTGCGGGAGGCAAAGGATTGAGGAGCTAGACGCCAAGGGGGGCAGAGCCGCCCTGGAGCCTGCTCCTGGCCGCGCATAGACGTTGGGAGTCTGGCTCCCCCTACTGGCAGGAGAGGGCAAGGGCAAGGCTTCAAGAAAAGGAGGCACACCAACCCTCTTTTGTGCGGGGAGCTGGCAATGGTACGTCCAGGGAGGCCAAGTGACTCCCCTTAAGGGAAAGCCTGGGTCTAAACCACAATTCGACTTCCTTGACACTACTCCCGCTGCAGCCTGGACGTCATCATTCAACCTGCTTGGTGCCCAAGTGTAAGACAGGTGTGTTTGCCCTTCCCCCTGCCCATCTTATGGACTGCTGTGCAGAGTAAATCCAGGCTTGCATCACACCTGGAGAGTAAACCACACTGAGCAGCACTGCAACTTCCCCTGCAAGGAGCAATGTCTCGGCCTCCTAGCAATAGCCAGGGCTCTTTTGCAATCTGCACTGTTTGTTATGGGTGAGATATATAACATATGGTAAGTGGCCAGTGAGCTCATGGTGCCTTTCAAAATTTGTTGGGGAATTCAGGATCCTTTATTCAAAGGGACAATGTCCAGTTGATTAAGCAGAAAAACTGACAAACCTTAAAAATCGCCTCTTATTGCAGTTCTTAACTTCTGGATTCTCTCAGCCAATTTCTTCTTAAAAATGAGGCACTGATGCAGAAAGAAACTCCAAATTAAAAAGGGCTGCTAGCTTCCCCTACCTCCCTGGAGCGGCACTGTGGGCACGTGCTGCCTGTACCCCTGCTGAGTTTGCAGCCACAAGCCTTCATTTCCTGGGGGCTCATTTTGCTCTTACTGCTCTAGCAGTTGTTCACCTCCTGTTAGTGAAAGGTGCCAGAGCGATGGAAATAGAGCCCAGAGTCCTTTATTTAGGTACAGAAGAAGCACAACATGGGTAGTATCTGTATAATTGTGCTGCTCTTTTTATTTTGATAGCAACTAGAGAGTCCCATTGTGTATTGGTTGTCCTACAGGGATCAAGGGATGGGCCTTTGCCCTGCAGAACCTACAGTCTAAACAGAAAGAGATAGCCTTAGGGGAAACACATGCACAGAAGAGGAGTGAGTTGCCCAAAGTTATGCCAGGGCTGGGATCTGAACCTACGTTTCCTGACTCCCAGAGCCCTAGTCACTGGTTCACATGGCTCCTCCCTGGCTGAAGCATGTCTAGCTTCCCTCAGTTACAGTATCCCTACAGGTGTTGAAAGGTGGCTGCGTCTCTTTTGCTAGTCAGTACTGACCCTGCCAGGAGTGTTTAATGGTCCCCAAGAACTGAAAGGAGAATAAATGTGCTGAGCAGCCCTTAAATGGGAGCAGCTTTTATGCAGTTCTCATTCCCAAGCTTAGTGGGGGGAAGGCTTTGCCCCCTATTACCGCTCTCCTATAAACAGCCTGGCACTACAGAGCCATGGCAGGACCTGGAGGGAGCTGCAAATCCAGGCACATGTGAGGAGCATGCTGAATTCAAAGGCCAGCTCAGAACCAAACTGCAAGGTGAGGAGAGGAGATTAGAGGCATAGGGCGTGCAGGGAATGAGGGGGTATTCCAGGCTGATTGATGTGAAGCCCCACATCTGGGGAAAGGCAGGAAACAGCTCGGGTGGTGCCAGTTTTAGAGAAGGGATGGTCCAGGGCTTAAAGGAGACCTGGGTCCATGTCCCTGCTCTGCCACAGTCTCCTTGTGTGTCCTGTGTGGCAAGTTACTTAGCTTCCTTCTGCTTAAGCTGCCCAAGTATATGAAAGGGATAGTAGCCCCGCCTTATCTCACAAGGGGCTGTTGAGGATATGGCCATGGGAACCTCCATGCTACCTATGATAGCTTTGGTGGTGGGAAGAGGCAGGTATCCTGTAGACCCATAGGCTTTCAGTGAGAGGTGAATTGGATATGGGTCTGTGGAGCTGTCGTTGGACATGCAATGGCTCCCAAGCTACAGAATGGACCCATTAGAGAGCCAAATTGCTTATAGAAAAATTGGAGCTTACTCAGTGATCTGCAAAATCAAGTTGGGGGAATTCTCTGCCAGCCCAGTCAAAACCCCGAGGATGAGCATGTTTGTTGCACGTGAGGAATTGCCCTGATGATAAATGGACTGAAGAAAGGAAAAAATGGGACCGGGGGAGACAGGTCCCAGAAAACTGAGAGCAGAAGGGAGTCTTGTCAGCAGAGATGGGGGACTGATTTAGGTAGAGAAGAGACCTAGCTGCACATCTGGCCAAAAGGCAAACTGAGACCTAGTGAAGTGAATTTTGGGGCTCCAAACATCAGTTCAGGCTTTACAAGTGGTTCTTGTGTCTCTGCTTTGGCACCTCAGCCCACAGTTCTGCCTTGGTGCTTCCAGCCTAGCCATCTACTTAGCTGCCAAAACCCATAGAGACTCACCCCAAAATTGCTAGAGAAGGATTGCTGTTTCCCAGCTGCTTCCAAAAGGCCTGTTTCTTCACCAGCAGAAGCCAAGCAGGCTCCCTGCCATTTCTGAGCCATAATGAAATGGGTCTTCGGCCGCCTGCAGACGTGGTCCAGCATGTTCGAATTAGAACGTGGCCAAGCAGTATCGATTAATCGAGTCTGTTCTGCGTTCTGATTGGACGGCTCCAGCATTTCCTCCGTGTCACGTGTATGAAGCCCCCACATTTCCAAATGGGCATTTTAACTAAACCTCATTGAATGAGCTTTAATTAAAGCGCTCCCGTGGCCATTTTGAAACATGGTGAGGCTTAATACATGTGAGGGTAAGCCATTTTAATTAGAGAAGCTGTCTGGGAACCGCTTTAATTAAAACAGGCCCCCTTCACCTCTGAGCATGTGTATAGGCAGCCTCAGTCTCCGTTGAGAGCAGGGTTGCACCTCTGTAGCATCTAGTAGCAACTCTGTAGCATCTAAGCAGCAGATGCCTAATCCAGCCTGCTGAGCCCAGCCTTCACAGCTGCACCAAGGTCCAGATTCTTTGGCACGTGCAGGGAGATCAACTACATGACTCAGAAATGGCAGGGGAGGCTGTTTCCAGTATTAGTTGCTCGGCCTCAGTCTCAGGGTAGCAGTGTTAGCTTCCCTGCAGGGCACTTTATTAAAAAAGGGAAAATACCAGTGAGATCTGCATGGAGGCATCTCCACAGGACCCCGCTTGACAGTTCCTAATCACAGAAGTCAGATCTCCGTTAAGACCTGAATGCTGCTGGAAGCACATGGCCAGACTGCCTGGTACTGCACTGAGCAGATATGTCCTTCAGGAGAGGCAAGTATCCCCCCGGTCAGATATGGTGACCTTGTCTATGAAATATTAATGGTCTTCCCCCTTGCCACATGAAGGCTGAGTGAAGAGATCAGCTCCCTCCCTCCTGCAGCATGAGGGGAGCCTGATCCCATCTGTATGCTAAAGGCACATAGCTCCTGAATGAATCTCCCTGGGGATGCTCACCTCTCGCCATGCATCCAGACTAGCAGGCCAGCTAACCGGCACATGCCCTCCCTGCCTTGCTCTAGGATGTCTGGGCAGCTGAAGACCCACTTTTATCAGTAGGGGGAGGGAAGTCTTTGGTTCTCTAGTTTTATGCGGTCTTTCAGTGTGTGAAGGCTGCTAGCAGCGCTGACTAAAGATTAGCAAAAAACAGGCATATGTTTGTGCAGACTTCCCTCAGGTGTCTTACTCAGCCTTTGCATCCCAGCCACGCTAGTCCAATCCCTGTAGCTGCCCTGATCACTTCAATCCAGACCTGCGGCTCCTCTCTCCCTAGCCCTGCTCTTCCACCAGTTCCTGCTCCATGAGCTATCTCTGGTTTCAGCTCGGGGCCCATGACTCACAGTTGAGCAGTTCTGGTACCACTCAGTAGAGCACAGTGATGTGTAGAAACTTTATCCAGTGTCTGACAGCTCAGAAAAAAAAAACATTGTGTAAGCTGTCCTCTCTAGCAGGGTCAGGCAGGGACAGTGCAGGGCCCTGGGGCTGATTTAGGCACGCAGGGGCAGTGCGGCACATGGAGTCTGATCTGGCCCCACATCATTCGTTTGGCCCATAGGGCCAAAAGGTTGAGCACTGCTCTAGTGAACGCCAAACAGTGATGTTGTCACCAGATGGGCTCATTGCCAAGGTGAAGCTGGAAGGTTCATAAAATATGCCCAAAGCAAAATAATTTGGTTGGGGTTGGGGGCAGGGCAGGGGTCTCATTACGCTGTGATTAGGTCGTAAGAGGGGCTTGTTGTGGAGTGGATTACCTCACCTTTGGTATAAGGGCCTTCAGGAAACCATTGCCTCCCTCTGTAAGCAAACACTGAAGTTAGCTGTGTTTCCTTATCTCCAGGCACATGTTTTTAGCCAGTGGGAAGCCCAGTCTTGCTGCTGCTGATTTGTCCTCTGAATGCCATGAAATGTTAGTGGCACAAGTTTGGGCGACCAAAGGGTCCATCTCTTTGCCTGTGGACTGTGATCTCCTCCTGCCCCCACCCAGGGCCTTGGCAGCAGTTATCTGAGCATCCTTTCATCTCACTCTGATCTTCCACAATGATGGATTTGCTCAATCACTTGCAATGGGATGCCCCTCCAGCACCACCAGTGTCCCCTAAGCAATGACACCCAATCTCTTCAGCGACTTCTGCAAACTGTGCTGAAGGGATATTTGAGCAGGAGTAGGTAGGCCAAGCAGATTATGGGACACTCAACAAGGCCAAAACATGTTATCTCCTCCATGCAGATGCTTCCTGAATAACAGGAGAATATTCTAACACAGGTTAACCTCAGATGTGCTCTCAAGTCTGCACACATCCCTGAAGCAGGTTCAGACAATTCTGCAGATCAGTTTTCTATTGCTTTAAATGTATTTAATGGCAAAAGGCCATGTTTATACATGTGAGCTGCACTGCTTGTCACCGTCTCAAGAGAGTTCAAGTAATACTAGGACCCTTCTCTAGCTGAAATTATACTAGTATGGAGGTGCTTATACAGGTTAGCTATTACCCTACAAGGAGAAGGATTGAGCTGTACCAGTTCTCTTTATAAAACAGCCATGGCTACCAGAGGCTTTGTAGACTACAGCACCTGGGTGAAGTCTAAATGCACAGCTGGGGATTGAGGGTGTTGACTAGGGGAAAGCTCAGCCTCACCCCAGGCACCCAGGAGCACTTCTGGGAGGAGACTGGACTGCAGTTGGGGAATGAGCTAAGGTTTTCTTAATGTGCATCATTGAATGGTTGGAACAAGAGGGCAGGCCTAATGGTGGCCCTATATAGTAGTATAAATGGACCCTAATGACCCAGATGTGCCCAGTGAGGAGCACCTTCTGCAAAGTGCTAAGCCCTCTATGCTTACTGAGCTCACCAAGCACTCAGCAGATCCTAAAAGTGCCTGACACCATGAAATGGTTGTGCCCTGGACATCTCACTGTAAGCCAGGGTGTAGCCCTGGTGTTTTGTCCACATCCTAACCTGACTAACCTCAGCCTTTCCTCTTAAATTTCCCTTGCAGTTCTATCTGGATACAGTGCTCTCCACTTCCCATCCTAAACCCAAGTGTAATGTTGCACTCCACTGCCAGGTTAAACACCAGAAGCAGCCTCTGTAGTGGGTAGGGTGGGTGATTCCCTGTGGTCCTCAGGCCCCTGGGGGTCCTCAGACAGACAGTGTCTAAGGGGTCCTCAAAAGATGACTATCATCAATCAAAAGTATGTGAATACCCACACTTACAATTCAAAGGGGCCCGAACCTCCATTTGGAATTTCCAAAGGGGTCCACAAATGAAAAAAGATTGAAAACCAGTGCCTTAGAGACAGGATCTTGTACCAAGATGGGATCTTTCAAGCTGAAAGAGGCTTGAGGAAAGCACAGTAAGAAAACCAGAAAGAAAAAGTCAGTGGAGATGTTTTGTCACCATTTCTCAATGTGGGGTGAAACTTTCTGTTGTCTCCCCTCGGCGCAATGCTCACTGCATGGGATAGCTGTGCTTCCACTGTACTACCACCCCCACCCAATCTGGAGCATCTAAAGGCACATGCAGCCACCCCAAACTGGGCTGCCCTGTTTGCTTCTCTGGGTTTGCACTCAGCATTGAGGCTGGATACTCCATACTTACTTTATGTTTTTCATCTCCAGTGGTGAATCCTGATTTACAGGCCAGATCATTTCTCCTGGGGTATTTTGTATCCTAGGCCTGTGTCTCAGTCAGCAAGTCCCAGATAATCATGGACATGTATAAATGTACCCAACCTTCTTCACTCCCCCCATTCTTCCTCCTTCTCCCCCGCCCCTTTCCTATCTATAGGTACTAATATCTTGCCCTTCTGGGTATTCTCAGCTCCTCTGGGTACCAAAGTGCTCACTGTCACACTGAAGCATCTGGTGCCAGGGCTCCTGTGAAGCTCTTCTGCCCAGCATCAGCATTCTGCTCACTGCCACAGACAAATGACCCACTTTCTCTAATGCAGTATAATAAAAGAACATGTCCATTTAATGGGGAAGGTTCATTACACAGAGAGGGAGGGGGACTACACGGCTGTCTGCCCTTCTGACACAGGTGGCAGCCAGCATTATTGGGGCTGTCAATCTGCTGCCCGCCTTGCAGGTGATGTGCCATGGAAGACAATGGCTTGGCCAGTGTGACCGGTGAAGCCCACAATCTCAAAACTGCAGTCTGACCTCTGTAATACAGACCGCCAGCAAAGTCTGGCTGGGGTAGGTCTCATAATGAGGGAGTGCATGTGACGCTGCATAAGCAGTGGGGCTTTGTATAGTGATGGCTGCATGACTGCTAGAAGGAAGGTGGTACAGGAAAAGGGATTGTGGGTAAAATCCTGTAGTAGATTGAGGAGAATTTTCCTTCAAATAGGATCTTGCTAAGGTGACCCAGCTCTTGACACCTCAGGGTTTAGGTTGCTGCATGGCACAAGACCTCAGTGGTAAAGAAATGTGTCCAGCAGGAGCCCACAATCCTGCCTGGCCAACCTCAACAAATGGTGGGGCTGGCTGGGGTGGTGGCATCCTGCAGATGGATGCGGTAGCTCAATTCATACCCCCAGGCAAGCTACGCTCCTAAGGAAAGCTATCCACAAGCTGACACTCCCATCCACTGAAAGGGTGCAAATGTTGCCTGCCCTTCTCTATGCCTGACTCCCTTTGGTTATAATTGTTCCTGCTGACACAATGGACGGCCAGTTGTGTAGCAAGTAGGGAACTGAGACAGCAATTGCCACATTGTCCTCTCTGTTGTCTTGATGGCAGGAGTCATTTTCCTATGCAGTAGGTTAAACTAACTCCTCCTTTGTTAGCAAGACAAGCTCAGACAGTTTGGCGCCGGGAAGGAGCTGTATCTTCAAGGGGCTCTGAATGGGTTACTTCTTCTGTGTGCATTTTGCTGCTGCTTTTGTTGCTTTGTCGATTCTCGTTGCAAGTGCTAATCAGGACTGTCATGCATATCGTAACTGAATATAGCCTGGATAAGATTAGCTGGAGTCTTTGTCCACTTGTTTATCTCCAAACAAGGCAGTGATGCTCTCTGGAGGTTTTAAGTCTTCTTGATGGCTCAAAGGTGGCAACACAACACCCTGGATCTATTTATGATAATTACGCTTCCTAAAAATTTTCCACTGATGTTAGTAACATTAGGAATCCTGGTATAGAAGAGTCTTCTGCCTCTCTGACCCCTTCACTGAGCAGGGTTACATGGTGTTTAAAAACACTGGTGGCCCATCGACACCAGGGCTCTCAGTGTGGCTAACATCAGCAGAGCTGAAGCAATGGAAAGATTTAGGAAGTGTCCCTAATATAGGCACTGTCTCTCCAAAAAGGGGTCATAGAGCTATTTCCTAGATATACTTCACCTAGCTACCAATCAGCCATCCTGCCTTCAAAGACTTTCCAAGCTGCTCTGCCTAATATTTTTGGCACAGGCAGATCCATAATATTAGCATCTTCTAGGAATGGAAGAGTAATAAATGTGTGGATTTTGCACTTCAGTGAATGGCTACAGCAAAGGTATTTTTTGTGTTCATTGTAATAGCCATGTGCAATGATAGTGCAATTACAGGGGCCCCAGGATTTGGGGCCAGGACTGATAGCTACCACTAGACAGTCAATGTACCTGGTTTTGGCTTGTAAATTCAAGCTCATCTAGGCAGCCTCTAACTCCACTGCATTCGATCCTCCTTCATTATCTCAGGTTCGGGGTGCTATTGCTGTTCATGTCAATGCAAGAACAGAGATGGCACAGAATGTCCCCAACGTGTTATTTGACTTCTCACCATGACAGTGTTTTGCATCCTGGCCATATGGTCACAGGTGCTTGTGCTGCTCCTTGAGAGAAGCTACATTTTGCCTTGAAAATACTCCCCTGCCTGGGCAGGAACTTGCCTTTGCCAGTGGCCCTAACCTCCATGGTATATCAGAAATGAGCCCACAAATCTAGAACACAGCCAGTTAATGGGCTACCACATTGCTGTCTGGACCCACGTCACTTGTGGGAACTCCTACTTGTTTCCCAGTTTTGGGGTAGAGCAGAAATTGGCTGCAATTGCTATTACTGTACATACGACCCCATGGGACTAACCCAATGCACTGTGGCGTATAGCTGTATGTGAGGATGGCACTGTCTCTATTCATCCTGGGTTATTACTGCTTTCACCTCTCTGGATTTCCTTTGTGGAGAATTTGACTGGAAGGAATATATAGGATTTGTATAAAACCAAGCCAAGAATTTCTCCTTTGCCTATAGTTCAGCACCTAAATAAAACTCTCAGTGCTCAACTATATTCAGCACTCAGCAATTCTTAGCCATCTGACAATCAAGTCCCTTATTTAGCGTCACAAGTGCAGGCTTTGAAGCCTGACATTAGGCATCCATTTTTAAATGCATCTGTCCCAGGGAGCACATCCTTGTGTCCTGCAACACTATTTAAGCCTTGTCTGTCTATCTGTCTGTCTCTTTAGAATGACTCCTGGGGGAAGCAGTACTCATATGCACTGTTCAAGGCGATGAGTCACATGCTCTGCATTGGGTACGGGCAGCAGGCTCCTGTTGGTATGTCAGACGTGTGGCTTACTATGCTGAGCATGATCGTTGGTGCCACCTGCTATGCCATGTTCATCGGCCATGCCACAGCCCTCATCCAGTCTCTGGACTCCTCACGGCGGCAGTACCAGGAGAAGGTAAGGAACCTGCTTTGGAGCCAGCCCCCTGGGGTTGGTTTGCGCATGGCCTGGAGGCTTAGAGGACTATAAGTCACTGGGGTGAGTGGGTACAGTGAGCAGCTGGAGCTGAGGGGCCACCAGACAGCATAGGGATTATTCATGAGTGTTCATCCAAAGAAAACCCTAACTGATTCCTGGGGGAAACTGGCATGACATAATTAAGGGGACTAACAATGAGGAGGCAAGTTACCATCCCTTTGCCTGTGTCAGAACCCACTTTTACCTCCTTAAGTCTTCTTTGAAAGCACACTTAAATTTCCAGTGAGTGCTGCAGTCTTTTTAGCTAGCACTTTCTTTCAAGGAAGCCATGCCAAGCCCTCTTGTGTTCACAGGCAGCCCTGCGATAGCAAACCACCATGCGTCACCCACAGCTCCAAAGCGCCCAGCAGTTGTGTACCTGTCAGATCAGCCACCTGGCACTGTAGTCTCACAACGTGGTGATGTTGCCATTGCAGTACAGTGACATGTCACCAGCTCCTGTGCAAGGGGACAATCTCAAGGCAGTAAGCCTTGTGACATGGTCCCGTGATGGGTTTAGTTTGCTTCATGGGGTAGAAATAGATGGGAGCGCTAACATAAGGTGACCCAGCAAAAGACGTACGTGATTATGCTCTGCTTGGAGAACCCCTGCGTGTCTGGAGCATATTGAATAGGGGAGTCTGGTTGCTTCCAGAAATATGCACAGTTGCATAGTGCTGGTCACTAGCTTCTAAGTACCTCCGGACAGGGAGATACATGGCCAGGACATAAAGGTACCCACAGAGCAGATGACCAGTGCCTTCATGTTGTCTAGTGGTCAGAGAGCTAAGAGGGTAATCCTGGCCCTCATACCAGTTGGTGGGTTGATATCTGGCCAGTGTTTTTTTTCAGTCTCCACCTGTAAAACAGGAACCTGTAATTTATCTGAGAAAAGCATCATATACATCCACAAGTTTCACAGAGGCAAGCTTTAATGAGATATTAGAAGCATGCTAGCAGGGAGGGATTGTGGATTCTGGTCTAGAAACCTCCAGGCATATGGGACCTCGAGGCACAAAGATGAAGACGTGAAAGGTTGTAGAGGGAGTGGTGAACTGTGTAGCTTGTGGGGAGGGACCAAGCAGGGAGCAAAAGGAAAGAAGAATAGAAATAGATCAGACTTTGGTGGGCAGGACTTTCAAACTGAGGAAGTTTGAACTTGAGCTTGATCTGGAAGGGGAGAGGGAGCTGAGACAAGGAATTGAGGTAATACTGGACATAATCACAGTAGCAGAGCACACAGACAACTGCTGCTGGATTTTGGGTGGATTGGACACAGTATGAGAAGCAATAGCCCTGGTGAAAAACATTCAGAGCTGCCTGTGCAGAAGGTTTATACAAATGTGTTTTAAGTAGCATGTAAGTCCAGGACCCATGTTCAAATTCAGTGCTTAGTCTGGGGTGACACTTGCAGGGTTGGACTGTAGGGCTCTAAAGACAAGAGCAGATCTTGGCTGTTGGGGTTTAATTCCAGATCATCTTCGCAGCCCTGAGCTGTTGAGGCTAAACTGGCTTTAAGCCAGTGCGGCTGAACATGATTGGAGGTGTCAAGAATTTAAAGCAGGGCTCCCATATAGAAAGTGCAGCAAACAAGGCAGTTCAATCTTCATGGATCCAAACATGCAAAGGAAAACCTTTGCCATAACGGTAAGGTAGTGCACATACGGCATAGTGAAAGATGGGTTTCCTGTGAATTGGACTCACTTGTCCAGTAGTCTCCCAAGAACAAAATTGCAGGGAGTCAATTACATTCAATTTTTCTGTTGCAAAAGGGGCAAAAGATGGCCTAAAACAAATACATATTTACTTTCGGCCTTCTGAGAACTGGAATAGCCCTGAATGAAATGAGACCGCTTCAAGATTTGCAGTTTCGCAAGTCAATTTAGCACTCCGTCCTCCTGGGACAGCATGTCTGTTGGAGCATATTATAAGCAAAGGACCTCAACAGGTTTGCAGAATTGATCTGAAGAAACAAGTGGCAGTTTGGAGGCTTGGTCCTTGGGCCCGACCTGTTTAATATCTTCATCAGTGATTTGGATGAGGGGGTGCAAAGCACCCTGTTCAAGTTTGCTGATGACACTAAGATGTGGGGGGATGTGGGCACA